TATGTCTGTGAGCCTAGTGCTATGCCCACACACTTCTGGGCATGACACTAATATTCTAGCTTCTGGGGCAGAAACCATGTTCCCCTCTTTCCTGTTTCTCCTCAGGACCTTATTCAGAGCAGGGACTCAATACATGTTCACGCAGGCCCAGGTGCAGTGGCTCACGCCTGTAATCCCAGCACTCTGGGAGGCTGAGGCGAGAGGATTGTCTGAGCCCAGGGCTTGAGACCAGCCTGGGCACCTTGGTGAGACCTCATCTATACAGTAAATAAAAAAATTAACTGGGCGTGATGGTGCATGCCTATAGTTCCAGCTACTTGAAAGACTGAGGCGGAAGGATGACCTGAGCCCAGCAATTGGAGGCTGAGGTGGCCGTGAGCGTGCCACTGCATTCCAGCCTGGGAGAGAGTGATACTCTGACTCGAAAAAAGAAAAGAACTTGTCTCTGTGGTTGTCCAATCGGAGATCATTTTCCTCCTCTTTATATTTTCCCACATTTTCTACAATGATTACGTTTACAAACAACAAAATCTAATTCTCTGTTAAAACAAAACCGGAAAGTTCATAAGGTGACCAGAGCAATCTCTGCTCCCTGCTCTGGATCTAAACCTCTTACTGGTTGTGACCATGGGAGTCCTCTTGGAAGAAGGGTTAGTCGGGAGCTGCTGGTTCTGATCCCCCTGGCTGCTGTTTGTCTTCTGAGTTCCGAGAAGAGAAGAGATCATTATCCGATTCACAGTAAATAATTAAGACCATCTGCAAGTCTTTCATGTGGACTCCTGACTTGCTAGAACACTGTCAACGCCTGGGCCTCTGTCAAGAAGGCAGGAGGGCTTCTGACTTTACACACACGGGCCTCTGCTTTCCAAAAATGGGACCCAGAACTCTCCGGCCCACTTAAGAACAAGATGGAGAGAAAACGTGACTGTCTCGTGAAAGGCAATTGTTTCAAAAGCCAATCTCAGAGTCTACAATAAAGACAGTCTTCTCAAGATCGCTTTCCAATGTGGAAAGAAAAACATTGTATCTCAGCAACTCAAACTGATTTAAACATTTTAGGTTTACGAATATCCAGTGGTTTGCATGAAAACCATTGGACTGAAGGGTCCCACTTCTGGCTGAGGCAAGAGACAAAGCTACCATACAGTGCTAGATCCCAGGGCTTACCCCGGACTACGGAGTGTAAAGCCTGAGGAGACCAGGGTGCCCCATTTTTCCATCCTGGAGGCCAGCACGGTACCTGATAACAGAAGGTGTTCAATGACTATTTGCTGGACAAAGTTGGTCTAGGGTTCCTTCTGGGAGCTAAGGTCTCAGATTTTTGCTCACTTTTTTTTTTTTTTTTTTTTTTATTAGAGTCTCATTGTTTCACCCAGGCTGAATGCAGTGGCATGCCCACAGCCACCGCAGCCTTGACCTGCTGGGCTCAGGTGATCCTTCCACCTCAGCCTTCCAAGTAGCCGAAACCATAGGCATGCACCCCCACGCCTGGCTAATTCTTGATTTAATGTAGAGATGAGGTCTCGCCAAGTTGCCCAGGCTGGTCTCGAACCCCTGGACTCAGGCAATCCTCTCACCTTTGCCTATCAAAGTGCTGGGATTACAGGTGTGAGCCACTGTGACTGGCTGTTCTACTTTTTTGCACTGTTTGAATTTTTTTTTTTTTTTTTT